ATTTTGAGCCTAGCAGATGTAAAAGCGAGGTTTTTGTCTTAACGGGCGAGATGCCAACTTAGTAGTCATGAAGCAACGACGGTTTGGTTGGCCCAGCATTACCAGGGAGAAACCAAATACACAAAAATAGATCTGCATAAAATCTAATATTAGTGTTACCTCCTCACCCTTTGCTAAGCCTATTTTCTTTCCACAGAAACACTTTTTCGTTGACGATCATGGGACAGTTTCTGAAAGATATAAAGAATTGTGGTGTTGCGAGCCTCATCGTAAGCTGCCTTTCGAAAAACAGCTCGTAGTCTAAATATTCTCAGGCGCGCTCAAGCAGCTGCTTCCTTTATGCATCTTAACTATTTACTTATTGCCGATACTGACAACCTGGTTTCTCTATCCAGCAGTTACTTATCTCAGACTTGGAGGACTTAGTGAATATGGACTAGCTTATGACTACAGAAAGGTTTTCCCACAGGTTTGTTTTTCTTAACAGAAAGATTGGCTTATATTTGTGATGATATTTGTCGAAGTTTTTGAATTTTCTGCTTGCTTCGCTTCCCCGAACGCTAGGTCTTACCGTATTAGGAGCATAACTAAGAATTTGCAGTGGCGGAATAGTATGTGCTCTGCTATATCCGCATCTGCTTCTTCGTTGGTCATTTTATTATCCACCACCGTTACGCTGACCAAACTTCGCAAAGTGTCTGGAAGGTTTGGATTTTCCAAGAGATTTCAATTTATTTATAAAGTGATTTAGACAGTTGAGCTTATAGCAGTGTTCCTACTCTTGGATTAGCATGTTTTTCAATGTGAGTATTAAGAAGTTCCATTGTGCGATGATGTCAAATACAATGTAATGTGTGAAGCCTGTGATGAGGTTACTCAAACGACGCGCCCCGATTCAGAGTAGCAAGACCTTTCTATTCATATTTTATATTACTTTATATTATTTTTATATTTATTCCGCAGAAATAAAAATAGCAATAATAGTGCGACACTTTTTTGTTTCACTTCAGCTGCCACTAACTTTGTGCGCGATGCTTTTTCCATGTATCAAACCCTGCGGATACCTAGTCTCAACCAAGTGCCATCCTCTCGCCTGTGCAAAGGATTTACCCCTTGCCCCCAAGAGCCACGTCCTCATTTACATTTCTCCTTATTCTGTGTTAGTATACCTAGTCTCCACCCTCTTTATTCATGATCTCGTCATACACTTTAATTATCCAGTTTGGATCATGCGCAGGAATTCGAAGCCTACATGAAATACAGTGTGAGCCACCAATGAGCTATAGGATTGTGGGAACTTCGCTGGTTTCGGAATGAAAGAATTTCATCAACCTTAGGGATTGGAGTCGACAGAATAGTGACTGTCGATCAAACTCTCAAGCACTGCTCAGCCTTATGAGAGCAGCAACCAACCCTCTCGCACTCGCTCTTCTTTCGCTGTCGGGTCAATATGCAAGGAGATGGAAATAATAGTTTATCACTACCGGATTATTTCTTTCAGGATGTTTCTCAGCGTTGTAACGATAATTTCAGTACAGCTAATGAAATGTGGCAAAATGAAAGCGACCCGGCAGATAAACGGAAAATCTTAGAAAGTTCTTGTCTCCAAAGTAATTGGTTACTGAAAAGTTCCAAAAGTGGTAATGCCGCTTTATTTATTTGTTTATTCATCTACTTGGTAGCATAACAGTGTGAGAATGAGTTCTGAAGGAGCAGCTAGCAGCTAAAACGAAGGAGAAGCAAGGTTTTAAAAACAAACAGTTTTTTTGAAAGGCGAATAGTAGATAAGAAGCAAATAGATAGTAGAGTCTGAAGGCGAGCTGCAACTATGTGAAAACAACTAGCTATGAGAAGAAGGGATGAGCTTGAAAGCCAACAAGTTCATAAGTATTAGGTGTGTTGTTTTTCCGAGAGCTCTTCCTTGCGTTTTAATTTCGTTAAGGATAACAAGGATAATGATGAACGAAGCAGGGAACGGGAAGGGATCAATGTTACAAGCTGCTGTGCCTAGTTGAAAAATTGCAGTTTAGTCGTAAGTTAGGCAGTGGGGTGCTTGATCTGGGCTCACCCTCATGGTTAGGCTTTCAAGCGAGTAACTCCAGACCTGGTTCTCTCAAGTGTCTCGGATTGCTGTAAATGAGCCAAACCGATATTGCAACTATCTTTTTAGAAGTTGGAGAACGAAGTGAAATCCATCCAACCTTCCAGATGCTTTATTTGACCTTAATTTTAGTTTTTATTTTTGTTGTTGTTTTTGCGCATAGTTTTTGGCCTTGAGTGCAGGCTATGCTCGCGATCTCTAATTAAACGAATATTTTAGAACCAACAACCGAAGCAATGCAATGCTCAAAGCCGAGAGGTCACTAACATTTCTCGTCTTAACAACATCTATTTGTATGATCAGCCTGGCTCTGACGAATGTTGGTTTTCTTCTACGTTGATTGTAATTTGAAAGCAATTGTTGAGCGCGATTTTTTCCAATTTTTTTCCATTCCTGGAAAAGTGAGGTTAAATGTAGCAGCAACTTGAAATTTTAAAGCAGCGCTGTTTGTGGAAAGAACACCACCCTGGCTAATGAATTTCCTTCACCTTCAATTATAATACTTTGTGGAGCTTTTAAAAAAATAGACGCGCTCTGTCTGTTATTAATAATTAACAAGATGCTGACTGATTCTGATTTAAAAACCATCTGGTGCCTTGCAGAAATCGAGTGCATTTTGCCTTCTCATTTTTTGGTTTCAGGTTTATTTCTTCATCTACGCTAATGCTTTCATAACGCTGACAGCAAGACCTTTTCAAATTGACCTATTGCTGTTCCTTCCTATATGGGTGCTGTATTTCACGCATCCTGCTTTCAAGCCCAAAACTGTTTCCGTTTTGTCCGTTAGCATCATCAGTAATAAACGATCCTAATTATGTGTCACTAAATGTCATTGTCAGAACACAGACCATCGAAGTCATTAACGATCGCACTGCACTTTCGAACCAGATAAGGGATCCTCAGCTGACTCATTGTTCACAAAGTCAGGGCGATTCAGGACCAACCGTCGAGTCTGGCCGATTTGAAATACGATACGATACGATTCCCTTCTATGACACGATGCGGTCCCCTCTTAATAAGATCTTGCTACGCTCTTTTTGTAGTTATGTAAGTGTTACGAATAATTGTGGTCTTGAAAAATCACAAGCCCAAAGGGTTGAGCACATAGAGTTGGTTAGTCTTGCATAAAATATATAACCCAGAAAATTTCAATGCCATCAAATTTTTTGAAGTCTGGTCGCTTCATTAGGCTAGTGTTCGTTATTTAAAATAATAATGCCCTAGTCGCAGTAATATGGCCACCCTGCGGCTTTCGGCCCACAAATCTGTTTCCCTTTCGCTGTACCTATTATTTGATTGTTACTTCAGGGTCCGGTCCGGTCAATGTGAACGGCTAGGACAGAAGTCCCCGTCTTAAATTTCATAACTCGTCATATTTATCTGACTCTCTTCCGGACCTATCCTAGTGAAGCATCCGTCGTGCGATGTCGACTTTTGTGATGAGATGGTTGAACTGACCGAGACGAGAGTCTTCATGTAGAGCTTTTTAATAATTCCTACTGATTGAACGATCTCGGTTCCGTTTCGAGATTCATTCCCTCACAGCGGCGGCTATTAGCTCACCAGAGAAGTTTGCTGTCTTTCTTTCGGAAGTGTAAAAGATTTTATTCTGGTGAACAAGAGCGCTATAATTTGTCTTATGGGAGACCGAGTTGAGATATGTGTTGCACGGGCTGTATAGTAGGTAATGGTGAGTACCGCACACGCAAAATGTTGTTGATCTTTTTCATTAGTCGTGAACGGACGTCGTGAAACGTCGCTCTGTGCAATTTAGTGAGGTGGGCTGATTGTGAGCGGACGCCTCAGAATTCATTCATCAGGATGGCAGAGTAACGTGTCATTGTTTCAATCTGTTGTGATTGTAGTCCTCATAGCTAGAGATGCGATACTGCTATGCCGACAGTAGTTCGATTTTATGCTATGTCCTCATAGGATGCTGTGTATTGAGGAATACGATTGCTCTGAACGTTTATGTAAGAAGAAGGATAGAACCCCGTACAGTCTACGAGTTCGATCAATAACCAATACAATTAACTGTAAGAATTCTCCGTTCAAAGCGTCAGAGTCAAACACGGAGTGGTTACTTTGGCCATGTATAAAACTCAGGCAGAAATCAACCTGTAATGCCTCATTAAATAGTTTTTACAAGCATGAATTGCTTCATTTGGATATCGTTTTGGAAACTTAGAAGGGCTAATTCAATTCCATTAGGGCTAAGCCTATTTTGCCCGCATCTTTTTGTAGCTTTCAGTGTCCTTTAATCCTTTGTCAGGTTTAATTTAACAACATGATGAAAAACTGGGGATATATATCCCGCGCATTGCAGGCCATTTCGGACCGTGCAGGATATATATCCCCCGCACCCCTTACACTCATTTTTTTCGCGCACCCCTTATCCTTTCAGAAGTTTCTTGTATTTATTCCTTGGAAGAGACCTTGATGTAAGCGCAGAATAGTTGGACAATAGAATGGTATTGTCTGTGTCTTAACCTCGATTAGTGAGATTTGTCGCAACCAGTATTCCACGAAATCTTCAGTCTAAAAAACTTTTCGTTTACTTTTCTTTTTATGAATGAAGATTTAAATAGTAGTAGAAGTAGATACGGAACCTTATTGATGGCAATATGTGTGTTTTGATTGAAATAATCAACACAAAATTGCTTTTGAGGTCCATTGCTGCTAGTTATGAAAATTTTCACTTTTTCATTGTAATTCCACGCCATTCGATCGAAATTCCACTACTGCACATGTAACCCCAGGGTAGTTGTGCTCACTGCATATTATACTTGTATCTGACTTTTGTAATTGATCATTATTTAGCACTACATTCAAATTCTTGCTTGAACGGCACCTGAAGCGCCGCGGCATCGCAAAATCGCCTTCGGTCCCCAAATGGCCTCTAACAAAAAAAAAACCAAAGGCCAAACTCGATTGGTCGTCAATGTTTAAATATGCTGTGGGTCCTATAGCGAAGCCTGCTTAGGTAGCAGATGGCACAACTTTTCACTGCGTCTGCGATTACCTAGTTAATCTGTTTGCTGACCATAATACTCTTCGTTATATCTACAGAATCTGACGAGACATGATGACTGATCAGAATATTTCAGTTCAGCTGAATGCTGTTGTACAACCAGATCATAAGAAAGACAATGAAAAAATGAAAAACACTGGTGAAAAAACTGTCCCAGTAAATCGACATATAAACAATATTTTACGTAAAACATAAAACTATGAAACTGTGATCAAATCTGTAGAAGAGGGCGCAAGTATCTGCTTTCTCGAATCACAGCTATCTCGAGGTAAAAAATGTGCAGGATTAATGACTAACAATTGAACTTTGGTCAGAGCAACGGTTAAAGAAAAAACGCGATCTTCAACAGCGCAAAACCCTTCTTCTCCAGCAAGTCTGCGCCTCAGCTAATTATCATGCAATATCAACTGATGAGGTGTCACCCTGCTCTAAAATTAATTACTGTATGAGAATCGATTTGAGAATATATTCAAAGAAGAGACGCCGTAGCCTTAGTATGTGCCAGACCTGAATGCATAATAAAAATCCAAGCCGATTCAAGGATATAATGCACATTATGTAGAAATCTGCAATAAAATGCCGATGAAGTGCATTGTGCGGAAAACTGCAAGCGCAAGTGCACCACAGGCGCTACTAGTAACATCATTCGCACGAACTAATTGATAATTGTTTTTAGTCGGTCAGAAACTTCCTTTGCGACCATTTTTACAAGAAGCTGTGATCCAAGGTGCTGTCGCCTTCTGGATTGAGAAAATGCGGCAACTACGTCAAGCGTTTTTACGAACAAATGGATAGCCCGCGTTCAGGGTACCCTATGTTTTCGGTTGCATCACGTCAACTAGTCATGAGAAATTCCGTCGGATAGTGAACATCCGACACTTGGAGTGTAGGCAGGAAAAAGGAAATGAGAATAATGATAAATAAAGCATGTTCGACAGCCATCATGTTATCTCTCGGAGCCCGCTACGTTGCTGTCCGTTCGCATAAAACGACGGAAATAAATCTTCCTACTTTTTCCAATCCGTTCATTCATGTCATTTTAAAGATCCATTAAAATATTTGCTACGTAACATAGTTTTATATATCTTTTGTGCCACACAGGTTTTGTACGATGGAATCTTTATTGGGCTTGACGTTTCGACTAGCTCGTCGTTATCAAAAGCCTGAAAGCGTCATACCGCATTCAAATTGTTACCTATCCGCTCGTGACCAAGTGGCACCCAAGCTAATGAATCAAGGAGTGAAAACCCCAGGAATGTGTCACCTACCTTGACTCCACCAGCGTCACCGCTTTTGGATCAGCAGCTTCCCTTGATGGTCTCCAGATACAGTAAAATAAAATGAGACAACCAGTCGTGCATTGCTTATATAGAGTGTACGTGCAGTGCATGACGTTCTATATATTTATATATATAGTTCTATACATATAATGTATATACTTGAAATTAATGTTCTATAGAAGCAATCTACTCACGTACACCTAAATAATACATGGACAACGATCTGTTTGTACTTCAAATTTTATTTTTACTGTATATTCTATGGAGATCCCAGTCGAGGGAAGCTGCTGATCCAAAAGCGCTGACGCTGGTGGAGTCAAGGTAGTGCACATTCCTGGGGTTCTCACTCCTTGATTCATTAGCTTGGGTGCCACTTGGTCACGAGCGGATAGGTAACAATTTGAATGCCATATGACGCTTTCAGGCTTTTGATAACGACGAGCTAGTCGAAACGTCAAGCCCAATAAAGATTCCATCGTGCCAAAACCTGTGTGTGCCCTATATAAAATAATACAATTTCCCGATGAAAACCATAATGCCCCAGGTTTCAAGAAATAGCGGACATCGGAGGATATTGCGTTAATAGTATTCTCGAATTTGCATTTTCTGTTTTTTTTGCATCACATTCTAAGCTGAAACAACATGTAAACTCCAAGTACCTAAGCGGCTCCATTAATATCTATTTAACTTATTTTACCTATTTTCAGTAAATCACCTCCAACTCTATATTGTTTTTTTCACATAAAATTAATGTCATATGAAAGTTTCAATACAGCAGTCATATAATATTTACTTCTCTGTGGTTCATACGTCTGATCGAAAACCTATTATTGTATATGGACAAGTTGCTAATGATAGTAGCGGGAAACTGTCAAAAAAGTCAGCATGGTTCTGTAGACATTAACGAGAGTAGATGTAGTATGAGTAGCTTTATCCCACACACTTTCACATGGAGCGGACTACTTTTCCTTAATTTTTTGGCGTTTATTTCTGTTCTACAACGGTCCATGTACATTATTGGATCCGAAAAACAGTTTTTTCATTACTGATGAATGAAAACGCTGAAGGATTAATGCCTATTGATGAGAGAATACAAAAATGTTGAAGCAGTGCGCGCATAACGACGGTCGTCAACGTGTTAAAGGGTCAACAAATTCTCCTCCTTCAAATCGCGAGCCATAGATGAAGCGTTTTCTCCTTAATGTGTTAAAAAGGTAAAATCAAGTGGGAAGGCGAGATGTTTTAGAAAGAGGGCTTAATCTCGGACGGCGTCTTTCCGGCTAGTGCATAAACAAGCCAGAGCTTCAATCTCTGCCGCGTTTGTGAATACTTGGATTTTTGAAAGTTCCGTAT